GTGGCGTGTAATTTGCAAAGAACATTCACCAATATAAACTCTTTTAACAATTAAAACTTCTACATTGATGATCAAATCAACTCTATTAGGAAACATGAAGAAAATGTCTTTTCCAACTTGAGAAATCTCTCGTCTTCCCATCACCTGCCCCAACCCCAGCAAAAAGTCAAGCTTTGTGAGATAAATGATTAATGTTAAATTTTTTTTACACTGATGTATTTGGAGCCAGAAATCTGTCTCTTCTGCTGTTAAGTAAAAGGTAAAATTCCTAAGTAAAATCATGATGATGACTTAGCCTTTACAAAGAATTAAGTAAAAATTGATTATAGAAACCAAATCTTTAGCTGTACAAATCACACAGCCCGAATGGAGGATGATGATGCCAAGTAAACCCTTTTCTTCCCTCAGGCAATCAAGCAATGATTGGTCTGCCAATATAAAAAAAGTCATCCACAATGATCGGACTCTTGGCTCCGAGCACTTTCATATTCCTCAAGGAACATCTCTCTCCCTCATAAGCTTGAATTTATCACGCCATTTTGCAGGAGGCTATGAATCAGAACGAGTGTCACCTGACATTTCACCAATGACTAAGCCGCATTTCAGTTTATCTATTGTCATTGCCAGCGATCTAATTCTTGTTCTTATCCAATCGAGCTTTGCGAACAGCATGCTGGATTTGCCTTTCATGTTCTTTAAGCATATCCTCTATGTTTCCTCCTTGTGGCAACAAGGGTCCAGAATAGTGCATCCGGTTTTTCTTAGCAAAACCCTGGGATCACAAGCGGAAGCAAATCCTTAGCAGATATCCACAAAAAGCAATGTTGATGGTTTAAGATCCAACAGACTACCAACCTATTAATATATACTGTTCAATTTATACTGCAACTAAACAGTTCTGTGGTCAAGGTTGCATGGATACTAGGAGATGTTTATCAATGAAGACTCCAACTAAAATTAAGTAACTCCAAATAAAATTAAGTAATAACTGTGGCAGACTGTTTCTCGCCCTAATATACTTGTGAATTTTTGTATGGTTACCTACAGTCCCAAGAACTAGGACCTACTGTAATGAAGGCTTGAACCTCTACTAGGATGAAAAATAAAAATACCTGTGTAAGATATATCCTCTATTTAATGGTAAATAAAAGCAAAACAAAAAAGAAGCATCACAGAACAAGAAAAATAATGAAATCTTTGCTATATTAATTCCTGTACCATTGCATGTTCTTTCTCATATGGCTGTTCGTCCTTCTTAAGGTAAGTCTTGCGCTTATCCAGCAAATGTTGGGACCAGTCACTCTTTCCAGAGGAATGACCACCATTGAGATGGTTGTAGCCAGCATTTGAACGTTCCTCTGGCCAGTGTCGATTCACGACAGCATCTCTTGTACTTTCAAAATGTGATCCGCCTCTAACTGCAACTGAGTTGGAGAATCTTGACGTATGGCTTGCTGCATGATGGACAAATGACCTCTGACTTCTAAGCTCTTTCCTTGAAGAACCAAAGGTTTGGCTAGGACCCGTAAGAGCCTCATCATCATTTGCATACATATCTCGTGATCCAAATGCACTTTGATGCACTGATTGACCAGAATGCGAGTAACCATTTTGTGCTGTTCCTTTGCGAGGTTCAATGGGCAAACCAGAGTCACCATCCTCATCATGATTAAACTTTTCACTGACACTTTTAGGGTTAGATTGCCCTTTATGTTTCTGCAGTAGGCAAATGAAAAGTTAGATGTTGACAATACAGTTGTCATACTCATGGCAAGTTAAGAAGATCGTGATACCTGTATGGATGCCTGCAACTCAGCATTAGCATCTGGTGCTGGCACCGCTTTAGAGTTTCTAGAACCTTTTTTCATTTCATGTGCTCCACCTTTACCAGCTGCTGCTTTTTGCCTGCATATAAACAAACAGGACTGTAATAAATAAAAGTCGGCTCTTTCCTATCCCCTCAGCTTTTTGGAATAATTAGTTACACAGTTCAAGAGTTCTAATCTTCTCAGTCCTGTTTATATTTAAAAAGTTAATTTTAGTATTAATATGGTGAACCTGTGTTTGTCCACACTTTTAGTTCTGTTGAGTTTTGTACTGGAGGATATGCCTTAAAATATAAAACAAAATGAGTTGGATTCTTTCTATCAGCTTAAGTTTATGAAAATAATTGGTCATATATCTTAATCCACAAACATAAAAGAAGGCAAGGAGAAAGCACTTAGGCATCTATTTTTTTTTTCCATTGAAGACTAATGATACATGTTATAGTTTAGATCTTTTCAAATATTTGAGAAAATACATTAAAAATCTTTAAGTGTAAATATAGCTAATTTCATAATGATACAGGAAATGATCCATAATAAGAAAATAGTCAAAAGTATCTTTTATTAATAAAATGATAAGATAGGCAGCTAAAACTAAAATAGAAAATCTACCTTTAAAAATTTTACAATGTTCATTCTTCATCCTTTTTCGTCAATTTGGATGAGTGAGAAAAACTTAAGAATTTCTATAAAAAGTGAGAATGCACAAATTCCTCATTTTCCTTTGCTAATGCTTATTTTTTCATTCCTTCGTTTAATGGGATTTAGACTGATGCACTAAGGCATACATACTTGACATCTAATTAGATAAATTGATTGATTACATGTTGTTTGTGATGAAAACTTCTTTTCATTGATATGATAGTGCAACTGTGCAAGAAATAAGAATGTTTAAGTGCAGACATATCAGAAAGGACAATGAACTTGTAAGAGAAGGTCATGAAAATAGCCAGATAGCTAACCTTCTAGTTTCTTCTTCTCGAAGCTTAGCATCAAACTCCTTGCTTGGTGGGTACTTTGGCAAACTTGATGGATCACAAGGAAGAGGGTTTGTTGTGAAAAACTGAAAAAGAACATTCAGAAATCAGTAGTGTAAAACCATAAAGAGGGTTAAGCAGTATCACCACTCCAAACAGATTATTTAATAAAGACTAAAATATGCAATACAACTTAGAATCTTAAGAAATGTACTTGATACGGACTTGTTTGCCCTTTTATAAAGGCTACCTAAAGAGCACAGGTAACTTGATGAATGAGACCTGACATGCAAACACCATTGCAAAATCAATTTTTTCAAGATATGAATGTTCATGCACAGTTCATACATCTCCTGGATATTCTCATTTGCGTGGATAAGTAAGAGTTTGTGAAAATTCCAAATGCTAGTATCCCAGATATGTACTCAGTAACCAATAGGATCAGTTTCATACAGTGAAAAAACAAAACACTTTGGACCATAAAGATACTAACCTGTAATATATGAGATTGGAGTTCATTTTTAAATAGTTAATTTGTTAAATAGTACCAATATTAATTTTAGAGAAAGCATTTGAAAAAATCAGGACACTTTAAGTGTTTAAAATGAAAACATGCAGGCTAAATATGAAATGGCAGCTTAAAACTAAAAATTACCTCACTTTGAAGTGCTGAAGAAGCTGTTCCACGGTCCTCAGGTTCTACAGCAAGAAGGACCTCCAGAAGAGCTAAAGTTGATGAAGGAACATCCTTGAATGTCTCAGCAATGCAGCGCTTATACGGATGTTGTGGTTTGAAAATGGTTGCATGCGGCAATTTTGATCTCTTCCAGTACTCTTCAGAAGGTGATCCACACAGTTTGAAAATTTTGTGCAGTTGCTCAACCTACAAATAGTTCATAAAAGAATTTTTTGACATCCCATCAAAACTCCCATCAGCCAAAATCCACAAGCAGATACTTCTGGTCTTACAGACATTTCACATATACCTGCTTGTGTCTATCTTATGGAGTAAAATACTGATTGCCATGGGAAAGAAAACACACTTAATGCCAAAAAGAACATTACTGCTTTTTTCTTTAAGTTGCTCAACAGAATAATTCATCAGTTATAAGACCGCAGTGACCATGAGTTAAAACACTCGTAGAATGTTCATACATTTATCCATGAAAGCTTGAAAAATATACCTCAGTTCTTCCCGGCATGATAGGCTTTCCATAAAATAACTCCGCAAGAATGCAACCAGCACTCCATAAATCCACAGCAACTCCATAGTCTGTGGCACCAAGTAAAAGCTCAGGAGGCCGGTACCATAAAGTTACCACTCGACTTGTCAGAGGCTGCTTTGAACCTCTGGGATGGAAAGAAGTGGATAACCCAAAATCACCAATCTTGAGATTGCCATTATAGTCAATGAGAAGATTTGAGCCTTTGATATCTCGATGCAGGACCCCACGACTGTGGCAGTGTTCAAGCCCATGAAGCAATTGTTTCATGTAACATTTTATCTGAATATCAAAAACATGAAATTAAACACCAGCATTTACTCATCTAAATCAAGATAAAGAGGACTGAGACATGGTGATTGACTAATAACATATCAATGATAATTATAGCATAATACGAAATGAATGAACAGGAAGCCTTCAATTTTTTAAGAGAAGATATCTGCAGCAAATCGTTTTTCTTCATTGCACTGAGTTTCTTTTTTCTTCTCCTTCCCACTTAAATATTTTGGAAAAGATCTCACAGATCATTTTTTGATAGGGATAGGATAGAGTCTCAGGAATTTAGGAGGGAGGAAAACCTCCAGAATATTCTTGCACGCTAAAACATGAAAGTTGTATTTGATCTGGTAAACCACAGTATGCTAAAATTCTGATAATGTTAGGACGAGAGGAAACTTCAGCTCAAAGAATTTAAACCCGTGATAGCGATAATTCAAATGCATATATATACACAAATGTTCTAATTATGAATGTCAAAACTACAATGAAAATTAGAACTAGGAGTTAGCAAGAAGTTTCATAGGAAACGAATAGATTGGGCCATAAATACTAGACTTAAAAGGTCAAAACGTGAAAAGTCTTTCCTATCCACTAGAATTGGACAGAAAATGCTGAACTGCTAAGATGATTATGAGAACACTTTTAGCAAATATCAAATGGAAGAACAGAAGGCCGCATAGGAGAGAAAAGAAAAGAGGACATCAGATGGCTAAAAATGAAAAAAGGGTCAGAGGGCTAGGCTGGCTTCCTCTCCTTGGAGGGAATGGCTTCAAGTGCATTGCAGCTATATGCTGCATATTTAAAATTAGTAATTGAAAAACAAAATGAAAGAAGAGAAACAAAGCTTCAGGTGGGAGTGTAGCTGGTGATGTCATTGAAAATTTTCAAATTCCTTGACCTAGAAATTGGCATATTTCATCTTCTTAAAAGAAAAAAAAAGAAAGTGGACATATTTCCGGTGAAAATACATGCTATAAATTGTTGCTTGTGCCAAAAAAGATGTATCCTATAACTTAAACCTATACCATGAGGCATTGCTCATGTCAACAGGCAATTTGTCATCAGACATGAAAGGAAGGAGGTCACATTGGTTTACAAAACAACTCTGTTCTTATGTAACTTTTGCCTCAGAGTGCATCGGTTAGGACACCTTTCAGAATATATATAAAAGTTATAGCCCATGAAAGCCCTTGCCGTTGAAAATGAATAGTTCAAATAGTTAACACCAACACGGGGCTAGTACCTGTGCCTCAGAAAACTTAACCCCAGGTAATGCAGCAAGCCCTGCAAGATCATGCTCCATGTAT